CCGGAACTGAAAATGACACAGACACGTTGGAACACAGTACTATGTGGTGACAGCTCACCATTTAATATCCACGCATATGTGCATCGTCACTCGTGGCACACTGCACCCAGACAAACGGCGAGACCTTAGCGGAAGCTTTGCTGCCACGAAGAGAGTATACTTTCCACTCAATTGCTAGGCGTCACGTGATCCGGGCGTAACGTGTGACGTCATAGGTAGAGAAGAATGTCGTTTTCGACATTGGCCCTTCGCTATAGTGATGGTGGCGAAATATTGATGGTAAAAACAGCGCGAAAAATAAACAACTATCATGGTTGCTTCGCACTGATAATATCAAACACAAAGGAACAGCGGAGCAGACAGACCTCCTTTAGCATACCAGCCAACCTAGCGTATAAACGGGGTCAAGCTTAGAAATAGCCACAGGAGCACGAGCAGAAGCTCGGGAAAGCCATGTTTAGCCTCTCTCTCTATTTCTTTATTTCTCTCATTTTCTTGCACCTTTCTTTATCTTTACACCTATTTCTTTCTCTTTCTCTTTTTTCTATATGTATCACTTTGTTTTTTTATCTTTTTTCTGGTTTTCTCGCCCAAAGTGAATGCGATCATAGGTTTCGCATAAATGCGTTTCCTGCTAGCGGGCCTCAATAGCGGAGCAGTTACAACACTCCCATTCATTGAGTGTATGCCCAGGTTCGAATCCCACCTCGATCACCAAGAGATATTTCGTTCTATTTATTCTCGTTATCTTTATCTCATCTCGTCATCTCATCTCGTTCCATCTCGTCATTTCCTTCCTCAAGCGCTTTGCCAAAGAGCCCGTGCGTTTGTTTGTTTGGTTTTTTCCGCACACCAAAGGGCCTAAGCTCCGGAATGAACAGCCTCGCTGTCCAAAAAAACAGCAATGCCAGAGGAATAAAGACAAATGACAGGCACTGTTTACCTAAATGTGAGACTACGCAAGCAGCACACAGGGTTCCCCTACCTCACGTTTGTCATCTCATTGTCGATCATCCGGTTTTAAACGTTGTTTCTTAGCACTCATGTCCCCTTTAGGCACGTGCATCAAAGATCACATAAATCCATGCAACCTTTTCACATTAACGATAGCCATTTTCTTTACGATTTTGGCCTATTCACCAATCTCCGTGAATTTGAACTTGACTTTCTAAAAAAAACTGTGACTAATTCAGTAATGGTGAGGGTGCGCAGTCAGTCAGACTACTTGTTTATTTATTTATTTCTTATCTCTATGCAACCTCTTTTCTCCCCTTCATCCCTTCCCCAGTGCAGAGTAGCAAACCGGACGTGCGTCTGGTTAACCTCTCTGCCTTTCCTTGCATTGTTATCTCTCGCTTTCTCTCTCTCCCTATGTCATAAACATCGACAGTTGTTGGTTAAGTGTCTGTACGGTGTAGTTTCCCTTCTCGAGTGATCGTCTTTTTGCGCCGATTCAACCATGACAGAAACCAACTAGCACAGCATTGCACGCTGTTGTGAAACAGAGAGACCCGTTGATGGACACGGCGCAGGTTAATGTCCCTCAGTTGCACGGGCCAACCACTGACGCTGGCATAACACTTATACAAGGCCAAGCAGAAGCACGCCTATCAGTTACATTTTGTTGTGGGCTTACGACACCGTGCGTGACGTCACGTCACATGACGCCGAGATGTTGAGGTGCAGATAGACCTCTCCCTCTAAGTACGTTAGCCGACAACAAGCAGCAAAGACCATGGCGACATCAGTAAAAACACACATTTACGTAAACAGGAACATCGCTCGCTGTGCGCTATATGTACAGGCAATCCCGCAGCCCCTTGGAGCACTGGTTTCAACAGTTGGTTGAGCTAGCGGCTCAGCGTAATGAATTGAAAACACACATCTCCAAGCTTACCGGCTCAGCATAAGCGAAATTTCCAACCACACTGAAGCTGAAAGTGCTGCCACTGCAATAATGTGTGAATTCAATGCTGAGAAGGCGCTTCACGATTCAATGGTTCAGAACTATAATTGGCTACAACCTATGAGAAATGCAAGCTGCGCCCACTGCCATTTTTGTCCCTAGATAAAATTTAAATAGATACCCCTTCCTATTGCATTTGCTATATTCTGCGACGTCAAGCACCCTTGACGTACTTCAGGCTGCTTATTTCACTATACAGACAGATATTCGTGTCACTGGTTTTCTGTCAAAAGAGTTCAACTTCCTGGCAAAGTCGAGTAAACGTCCTATCGTGACTTCTAATTGAAGCGTAATTAATCAAAAAGGAACGACGAATATAAGTGCTTAGCGAAGTATTTTGATTAGCAACAAAAAAAATCAGTTTCACCGCACGGGCGAGGCCATGATTGCGATAGCAAGAAGTTGTAATCTTCTAAGAAATAACGCGGTCAGCTAACTTTTGTAGATCCAGTCTCGCGTAATTCCACAAAACGCTGGTGTAAGAGAGTATGACTATTATAGGTAGGGAAGCGGATTCTTCGCGTTGAGGGCGCAGCGCGTTGAAGGATACACGAGCCGTCCCCAGATGCCTGCCGAGCGGGTGCGCGCGTCCATATAGTTGATCTTCACAGTTACTTCTCAGATTGAAGCCATATCTCTCCCTCGCGTCATTTCATGCTCTTTCAAAACGAACGCGGTGTTTACTCTATGCTTAACCGGCATTCGAAGGCGCTTAAGCAGAGAGTAACGCACGGCGCATGATGTTATCGCTTCGCACGGCGCATGATGTTATTGCACACATCGTCCGAGCGACGAATATGGACCGGCTCGTTCGGTCTCTGTTCAACTGAGTTCGTCACTCCCGATAGAGAGCTCTTTAGGCGCGGGTAGAACGTAAGAATCATTGGGATTGTTACTGATGCTGATGATAATACACGGAACATGACGGCGATGGTGACGTTGATGGCAAGAACCCGTTGAGAGGGCCCATGGCATTGCTATGGTAGTAGTAAAAGTAGTCACGGTTGCAACGAAAAACACCTAACAAGACAACCTTGCTCACATGAATGGCAGAGTCACCGCTGTTCTGGCGGCTGCAGCTTGTTTTCTTTTTTTTTTCAGGTTGTAACCAATTATAGACATTAGAGCGACACAGTTAGCACCCATATTATTACCATGTGACCTGAACATCGACACGACATTCGTTAAAACAGCTACCACAAGCTAGCAGCACTTCAGTATGAGTAGAAATAGGATTTCGCTATTTGGTGGCGTAAGCAGCTGCTTACAAAAAAAAAACGCATGCATTATGAAACTTATGAGTATTGTATTTACAAGACAACATCACCTCATGAGCTATGTCTTCAAATGTCGGTACACATATGCACGATATGCAAAACAGCCACGAGCAGCGCTGACTTTCTAAAAAAATAGCCACAAGCGGAACGCCGAGTCACTATCGAAATTGAAAATGTATATGATCAAGAAATGGACGTTTCGGCTTCTGAGAGCAGTTCAAGCCGATAATACGGTTACTATACAACTCGTAAGAGTCAACACTGGCACGATATTACTGCACGGGAAACATCCCCTTTGGTTTCTATCACCCATGTCGACCACGTGTCACACACCCCACAAACCTGATTGAGCTCGATCAAATAGCGACCCAGTCGAATGAACACGGTCACGTATAGTTATGTATGCTCACAATTACGGGTGCACAGGGCTGTCCTTCAGGGAAAGCGAAGGTTAGTCGCAACGCGGCCCCTCCATACTACGTCAATGTATGGGGCTGCATTTTTCGCCCCCCTTCCCCTCCTCCCACTTGGGTGACAAGAGGGAGAAGCGCCCCCCCCCCCTCGTGCATCACCTATGTGCCACAACATAACATGGGTTTACGCGTCGGTGAATGCCTGACGAACACACTGGAAATAAAACAGGCTGTTTTAAGCTGTTTTAACAGTGTAGTTGTTTAAGCTTCGTAAAACTGCGTTGTTGTGTCTAATTAACTGGTTGACTGAAGGTGAGTGACATTAAGAGCCTAGTTAAGTAACATAAGGAACACCATCTAGTTATCATGCCAAGACTTGCACAGACGAAAAAGCAACATATTATAGCATAGCAAGGCTGTTGGAAAGCAGTGTGAGTTAGGGGAGCGAAGTTAAAATAAAGAGGTAGGAAAGGAAGAGGGAGAGATGCTAAGGTTATCATAGCCATGTATAGTGTAGCAAGTGCATGGCATGGAAAGTCAGGGTGAGGCAGAAAGGTGATGGTAACGATTATCATAGCCATGTATAGTGTGGTATATCAAAGGGTTAGAAACGGAAGTGGGAGTGTGGCAGGCAAGGAAGCGGGGGAGGGTACGGCTTAGCACAGTACGTATAATAATAATAGCCAGAGGTGGGAATAGAAGTCAGAGAGAGGGAAAATAGTGGGGAAGGCCACTAGGTCCGCATTTTACTCCGTCTCACGCCACAAATGCAAGGACAGGAAACAGCGCCCCAATTTTCTTTTAATTACCGAATTAGGTAGGCGTCGGCCCTGTCTTGACATTTTTGTGCTTGAAATTATCGCGCATTGGCGTTTTTTGTCACTTCACCACATATCTATACCAACATTTCTGCCCTCGTGTATACACCAACAATATGCCTGCTTAGTGCTCGAAATGCTTTGGCTAACTTGGTGTCAACATTAAAGGCATGAAAATGCAACCTTAAAAATGCAACCATTACCTGCAACCTGAAAATGCAACCATTAGAGGCATGAAAATGCAAATACCACTAGTTGATAAAAGACGAAAAAATTGTCACCAACACATTTTCACCATAAAGCGATGACCAGCTGTAGAATGTTTAGTCATCCAGGGAAATCACTTCTTATGCATAAGAAGTGATTTTCCTGGCTGACTAAACATTTGACAGCTTTAAAGCTTCGTAGTGCAAATGTGTTGTGTCGCAGTTATTGTGACATGGTTTCTGTTACTCTATTTATACATGACAACCTATCAGCACTGACTAGAGACAATACTAGAACATCACTATTTTGCATTTCCTGATATTTTCTTTCACACTATCGTAGAGTTAACTACATTGCCTTTTGTATGTGCGACGTAAATTTATGTTCCCCTGTTACTTTGAAAATTTTGTTCGACAGGTTTGCGCCAACATCTCCTCATACCATGCCAATAAAAGCCCGTTTCTTTTTTAAAAATTCGCATGAGTTTCACTAACGCTTTCCGCCTTACAAATAGGGTGCATGACAACTCTCATTCGACGAACCTTACTTCAGCTCCCAGCACGTCCAGAACTATCTGCTCCCACCTGGCGGCAAGTGAAAAACACAATGTATTGGATCTGCTGCAAGGAAGATTGAAGCCCGAACATGGTGTGACGTTTCACGTTTGAAGAAACTTATAACAAGCAGAACCTTCGAAACCCTGAACCAAAGAGGTTGGCGGGGCAGTCACAAGTGTTGCTGCTGCATCGCTTGCCGATGTCCGTGAACCTGATGGGCAGCCTGGGGCGTTCCCTGGCTCGCGTGAGAGTTGAGCGACTTGGACATGGCGATAAACGAGGAACGGCTCTTCGAGCGGAACCTGTGGTTGCGGCAGAACAAGACGTCGGCCATACACTGCCGGAAGTTTCTGGAGAACAGAGCGTAGAGGAACGGGTTGATCCCCGAATTCAGGTACAGCACGAGGTTCGTCAGAATGGTCAAGATGGCGGCTCCAGGACTGGAACCATTATACTCCTTCGACCAGTGTTGCCAGAGCTTGCGCGCGTGAAAAGGCAGGTTGCAGAGGGCGAAGCTCAAGACGACGGCCACCAGGAGGCGGATAACTTTCCGCCGCGGCCTCAGCGCCGACGCCGCTGAGCTGTTGGCGTAATAGAATGTCTTGACGGTGGTCTTAGCGCGTCCTGGGTGCTTCCACACTTCCGCACCGGTTGCAGCCAGAGCTCGTTCTGGTCAGCTGTTGGTCATCGATGATCCTCTGAGCAGAATTTGTGTAGGGCATGGTCAACGTGACTGTCGTCGCAGAACAAGGCTCCCTGGCATTGTTGGATGTAGTTACAAAGGTTTGCGCGTACTCTAACTTTAAACTGGCGGAAAGCGATCCCTCGGAGTCTTCTTCCTGAAGAAGATTGCCTGTGCGCTGGTGGTGGCATTGGCTGTGACTGGGACTTCTGATGGCACAGTGGGGCACTCAAGACGAGCTGGTGGTTCGAGTTGGCAGCGATGTGGTTTTGTGGTTGTGACACGATGGATTGACTGTGCCAGAGCTGGTAGCAGATGATGGCATACAGCACGCTGATGATGATCAGTGGTACCAGAAGCAGACGACGAAGTTTACCAAGTCGTAGGTCTTGGAGTCGTAAAGCGCCCTCTGTAGGACGCACAGGGCTTCGCGCTTGTCGTCCACTATCGCTTCTACGGTGCCGTACATCACAATTCGGGGACTGCAGTAGGCTGCACTCACGATCCACAGTGTCACAATGGTCACGCGCAGCCGGGTCATCGTCACCACCTGCATCAGTCGAGTACGAAAAACAAGCTGTTCCCTCAGAGTTTTGACATCCCTCCTCAGGAGGAATGTGTCAACATTAATCTGCAACTTGGCACAACATAACAAGATATGTTCATTGGTATAGAGAAAGCACTGTGAATGGCCATATATTAGTTATTGTTGAAATGCCATCCTCTACGTGCTGCGCAAATACACCCAGTGTACCATTCTTTTCAACATAATTGAGACAGCTATAAGTGCATCCTGCAGGTCTGCAATAAAGTTTTTTTATTCATTGAGACAACTGTAACAAGGTACGCGTACCTTGCACAAGAAATCACCTTAATTCAGTAAATATTCAGGAGTGTCTTTCCTCACACCTTCTTTTTGTCAAATGTCATGTTCGAATACGTCATATAAGCACCTCGCCCTAATAGTTAGTTCTGGACACAAATATTGTCCCGCACTCATTTGTATATTGCGATGTAGCGAAGTAGTTGTGAGACACCATAAGTCTTCCAGCGGAAAATTTCGCCCTGTTGCGGAGCGTTCAGAGTTCTTTCAGTTGCAAATTGTCGAGCCAACAGCAGTAGATGAGTTAGGGCACTCACCTGCTTGTTCAACATGGGATGCACAATAGCCAGGTACCTCTCGGCGCAGATTACGGTGAGTATGAGAATGGACGCGGTGTAGCTGAGTCCGTGCACAAAAAAGTACATTCGGCACAGAAAGTCTCCGAGCACCCACTGAGGAGTGAGGTAGAAGAATAGGTTCTGGTACACACAAAACATGGCCACGCACAGGTCAGCCACAGCCAGATTGGTCAGGAAAAAGTTGGTCGTTGTACGCATGCGCCTGTTCATGATTACCACTCCGATGACCAGCAGGTTGCCTGCGAAATGCGCATGCAAAACAAACGGGCTCTGTTTTAGAAGACCCATGGGTCGTTTCAAGCGGGGCCTTAGATGAGCTATGAAGAACCAAGCAACTTATATGGTTCAATTCCTATATAGCTCACATAAAACTCGTTCAAACTAACAAGAAGGGCACGAGTACTTTTTCAAATTTAGGGGCTGAACGCCATATGCTACACCTCGGTGAATCCAGAAAACTCATTTGGCATGGCATATACCTGCATGTATGTCATTGTCTGTTTAGAAAAAAATGATTCTTCTGACTCGACATGACTGTTTCATATAAAGGGGACATAAAGAATTCCATACAAGCAGAGAAGTACGCTGCGAACACTTTTCATTGAAGGCAAAGCAACTTTTGCTTGGGCTAGGGCTTAGCGTTAGCTACGTACACCATAGCAATGTAACAATCAGTGCGGAACCACAACAGCCCCAGTAGCAACTGTGAACAGCACGGCGGATTCGAGCTACGAATCTATCCTAAAACTTCACAGGCATATATAGTCGAGCGAGTTTCCCTGTGTATCTTCGCGTGTCCTTGCAGAGAAGAAAGAATACCACGTGGCAAGCTGCGTGAAATTCATCCGTGGAGTTGTAGGGGGCTCTACTCTTTACACTTCATTCCGTCATCACTGAGACAGTGCAAAAAACGAAGGAAAAAAACTAACCTAAAACAGACATTGCATTGTCTCTAGAATGGCCACAAAATTTTGCTGAACACACTTTGGAATTTACAGCGTCGTTCCATTTTCCATTTCTAAAGCTCTCGCTTACGCAACCTGGCTCAACCGAGATGAGCCGCATTCTTTTTTTTTATTGTGAGATACTTAAAAACTATATGAATGTGCGTGTCAACATTATTCACTAACATGGGTTTGGCAATGCCTTTTTCTCATAAAGTACATATTTTCATATTATTATTATTATTATTATTATTATTATTATTATATTATTATTATTATTATTATTATTATTATTATTATTATTATTATTATTATTATTATTATTATTATTATTATTATTATATTATTATTATTATTATTATTATTATAAACACCCGAAATAGTGTTATTATTAATATTGTGACTATCATTATTACCATTTTGCGCAATGTGGGCAAAACAACGTGTTGCATAGCAATCTGTAGCTTTTCAAGTGCGCGTTCTCGCCAAGGAGCTTTCGTATATGCAGTCGCATCTGTTTTCGTATATGTTTCATATATGCTTTCGTAAAAGCTTTTGTATATGTTGTCGCATGCTGTCGTTGCATGGCATAACGCAGGCGAGACCGCGTATAAATTAGGAAAAAAAGCAAGCAGACGAGAAAGGAAAAAAATTAAATAAAAATTGAAATAAATAAAAAGGAGAAAAAGGCAGAAAAAAACTGAAGAACATTAAAAGAAAGAGAGGTGGAAAGAAAAGAATAAGAAAACGAGACGGGTAGATAGAAGGGTCTTTAGCTCCGATGCATTGTGAAGCGGTCTTATTTTTTTTTTTTCATCACTCACAGCCTAGGTTCAACCTCCGGAAGAATTTTCGGCCCGCATGCGAAAACTCTAAGAGGAGTAAAGTGTGGGATTGGGCTAGTTTCAATGATCTGCTCAGCGCAAAAAAGTAGATACAGCACACAGAGTGCATACTTCTGTATGCACTGTGTCTACTTTATGCACTGAATACATTATCTACGAGGCCACTGAGTCAGCAGAAGAGTCGGTGCTAACCGAAAAAGCAGCAGCAGAAGACCATGCTGTAGGCGACGACAAGTGTGACCTTGACTTCGAAACGGTCGAATATCCAGCCGTCTCCGGGATCCTCCGCCGTTGAGGAACAGCAACTGTCATTTGGTAATCCGGGCAGAGCGGTGCAGTTTCCCGGCGGCTCGCTTGGAGGCAGCGTTGAATTAAGCCCGCTCAACAGCTGATCCCGACAAGAAGCGTCCATTGACGTGGCCTCTGCGAAGTAGACAGAAATAATATTCACCGGCTCAATCAATCAATCAATCAATCACTCTATCAATCATTAAATCAAATAAATTGAAAAAGGGTTTATTGGCGACTGTTGCGATGGTGGTCCTACGATGAAACACGATCGGACAAGAGCAACGGTCGAGCAGATGCCGGCGATGATCAGCACGAGCCGAGCGAGCGAAGCCAAGCACCCAGTACCCAAGCGGTGGCGATGTTGTTTGCCAACGATGCGTTTTCTTCTTCACAATTTGCCCCCGCCGAAAAAGAGCCATCCTGGCGACCTAAGAGTCTGGAGGCAGAGGGCTATGATATGGCTTAAGGCGGACGATGTGGACGATGTCACGTCCACGCCGGCGCATGTCGTCAGATGGGGAAAGTGGCTCGATGAGAAAATTCACCGGCGAGGTTTGCTCCAAAACGCGGTATGGGCCCTCGTACTTTGGAACGAGTTTTGAGGATATGCCGGGGCTTTGGTAAGGAACAGCCAGCCATACAAGTGATCCCGAGGAATAGCTGGGGCTTTGTGAAGAGTCGGCGTTGTTTTCTTTCTGGCGCTGTTGTTCTTGCGACGTAAAGGTGCGTGCGAGTTCACGGCACTCTTCCGCATTACGGGCAGCTTCGGACACAGATGGGCATTCGGATGCGTCAGGATGGTATGGAAGGAGAGTGTCGATGGTGTGGGATGGCTCGCGTCCATAAAGAAGAAAGAAAGGTGAAAATCCAGTGGTAGACTGTGCCGCGGTGTTATATGCGAACGTGATGAATGGAAGAATGCGATCCCAGTTAGTATGATCGGATGTCACATACATGGCGAGCATATCGCCAAGGGTGCGGTTAAATCTTTCCGTGAGCCCGTTAGTTTGCGGGTGGTATGCAGTGGTCTTGCGATGAACAACATGGCATTGAGAAAGCAGAGACGTGACGACTTCTGATAGGAAGGCTCGACCTCGGTCGCTTAGTAGCTCTCGAGGTGCACCATGTCTTAGTATGAAGCGATGAAGGATGAAGGATGCTACGTCCCGCGCAGTGCCACTTGGAAGGGCGGCGGTCTCAGCGTAGCGTGTTAAATGGTCCACAGCGACTATGATCCACCGATTTTCATCTGATGTTGTCGGTAGAGGGCCATAGAGATCAATTCCGATCCGATCGAAAGGTTTGGCAGGGCACGGGAGCGGTTGAAGCGCACCGGACGAGTGGAAAGGCGGTGATTTGCGGCGTTGACAGTCAGGGCAGCCCATAACGAATTTTCGAACGAAATTATACATTCCGCGCCAGTAGAAGCGATGGCGAATGCGTTCGTAAGTTTTGAAAACTCCGGCATGACCACATTGGGTATCGTCGTGAAAGGAGGCGCAGATTTGTGATCGCAAGCTGCGCGGGACAACCAAGAGCCACTTACGACCTTCGGGGGCGTAGTTGCGTCGGTGTAGCAGCCGATCACGAATCGCGAAATGAGCAGCTTGACGTCGGAGAGATCGTGGTACCGCAGTGGTTGACGATCCAGAGAGACAGTTAAAAAGGGAAGCGATCCACGGGTCCTTGTGTTGTTCACCGGTAAAAGAGTCGAGGTCGAGAGATGCGACGGAGTTGGTACCAGTGGTTTCGCAGGCCGAGTCGGGAGGTAAAGGTGAACGCGACAGGGCGTCGGCGTCAGAATGCTTGCGTCCGCTGCGATAGATGACACGAATGTCGTACTCCTGGATTTGCAGTGCCCACCGAGCTAGGCGGCCAGAAGGATCTTTCAATGTGGCGAGCCAACAAAGTGCATGGTGGTCCGTTACCAGGTCGAATGGGCGACCGTACAAATAAGGGCGGAACTTGCGAAGCGCCCACTCTTTTTCAGCACTCTTTTCAGCACACTTTTTCAAGCACTCTTTTTCAGTGACGCTGTAATTGGCTTCAGCTTTAGTAAGTGTGCGACTCGCATAAGCGACGACGTATTCGGAGTAGCCCGGCTTGCGTTGGGCGAGGACGGCGCCTAGACGAACCCCACTAGCGTCTGTGTGAACTTCCGTTGCAGCTGTTGGGTCGAAATGCCGAAGAATTGGAGGAGATGTTAGCAGACTACGGAGCGTGGCAAACGCGACGTCGCAGTCAGAAGACCAGAATGAAAGGTCTGCATCACCGCGTAGGAGGTTGGTCAGTGGTGACATGATCGACGCAAAATTTCGCACGAAGCGCCGGAAGTACGAGCATAGTCCGACAAAACTGCGTAATTCTTTCAGTGTAGTAGGTTTCGGGAACTCAGCGACTGCTCGCAGTTTTGCAGGGTCGGGTCGAACACCATCCTTGGACACGATGTGCCCTAAGATGGACAGCTCTCGCGCGGCGAAGCGGCACTTTTTAAGGTTCAGTTGGAGCCCAGCGTTGGTTAAACACGTCAGCACCAGTTGGAGCCGACGCAGATGTGTAGGAAAATCGAGAGAGAAAACGACAATGTCGTCGAGGTAGCATAGACACACAGACCACTTCAGTCCACGCAGTGTGTTGTCCATGAGTCGTTCAAACGTGGCAGGAGCATTACAAAGCCCAAATGGCATTACGTTAAATTCGTACAGGCCATCTGGTGTAATGAACGCAGTTTTCTGGCGATCAGCTTCTGCCATAGGAACCTGCCAGTATCCAGATCGTAAGTCTAAGGAGGAGAAGAATTCGGCTCCTTGGAGGCTGTCAAGGGCGTCGTCGATGCGCGGTAATGGATAGACGTCTTTCCGCGTCACCTTGTTTAATCGCCGGTAGTCGACGCAAAATCGAATCGATCCATCCTTCTTTCGAACTAGAACGACAGGAGATGCCCAAGGACTGTGCGATGGTTGAATAACGCGACAGCGTAGCATCTCTTCGACCTGGTCGTTGATGACGTGACGTTCTGCTGCAGAGACACGGTACGGTCTTTGACGCAATGGCTGGTGCGAACCGGTGTCAATGTAGTGGTGCACTGCGGAAGTCCGACCCAATTGCGGCTGAGAAACGTCGAATGAATTCGCGAAGTGCTGGAGAAGATTAAGAAGCTCGGCGCGTTCATGGGCACTTAAGGTGTCAGCGATGGAACTCGAGAAGGTGTCACTCGATGAGCATTCCAGTGGGGAAAGGGCATGAAGTTCGGTCGAGGCGCTACTGCACGATTCGTCTGGCATGTTAAGGAATAAAGAGGAATCGAGGTACTCCACTCGACCGAGACATTCGCCGGCAAGTAGCGTAAGCGGTGCAGAAAGGGGGTTGTGGACGAAAATATTGCTTCGGCCCCCAGTGACGTCGAGTGTAGCGAAAGGCAAGGAAACGGCTCTGCGGCTCATGAAAATGTCGGAAGGTGTAAACATTACTGTAGCGTCGTTATGGTCATCGCAGCAAACAGGGACAACGGCAAGAGAGGCTGGCGGAATTTCAGTGTCTTCACGTACGACGAGTTTTGGAGACCGCTCAAGAGTTTCGTGCAAAGGTTCGTCATACAGGTGCGAAAATTGAACTTCAGCGCGTGCGCAGTCGATGACGGCATGATGTTGTGACAGGAAGTCCCACCCGAGGATAACGTCATGCGAGCACACCGAAAGGACGATGAACTCGACAACGTACATAGAGCCTTGGATGAAAATGCGGGCTGTACAGGTGCCGAGAGGTCTGACTGGCTGTGCGCTAGCCGTACGAAGCGATAGTCCAGAGACCGGCGTGGTCACTTTGCGGAGGGAGCGGCAGAGCTGGGCGGCTATAACAGAAACGGCAGCACCTGTGTCGATGAGGGCAAATGTAGAAACACCATCGACAGATATGGCGACGACGTTAGCAGGTGAAGTGCGAGGACTTGGGCATTTCGATGACGGCGCAGTTCTTGCCTCTGGAACTGCGGCGTTCAGTTTTCCCGGTTGGAGGAAGCGGGTCGGGGACGCATTGGGGACAGAGATCGCCTGCGAGGAGACGGCGAGCGGGAAGAGTGAGTCGGAGCTGGGCGCTGGGGTGACTGAGACCCGGGAAGATTAGTGTAGCCATACTGCGGTGAAGGATAGCGAGCAGGTAGGTGCGTGGGCGGCGGGTCATACGGTAACGGCCAAGTAGCGTTGTGTTGCGATTGGAAACGACGACGACAATATCGTGCCACGTGTCCTGGAGTACCGCAGGCGTAGCAGATTGGTCGATTGTCAGCAGTGCGCCAGGAATTGCTGACTCGCGGTGCAGCCCAAGGTGTCGAAAGAGGGGTAGAGTGGGGAGCAACTGCAGGCATGGGTGGCAAAAGCTGCTGGCGGGGTCTGCTGCGTACCACCTGGGCATAAGTAAGAGGCGCGGCCACGGGCTGCATAGCCGGCGCATGGGGAACAGTCACGGCCACAGGCTGCTGGTGGGCAGCGACGGGAACAGCCTGAGCTACCTCTTCGGCAATAACGTCGCGGAGTGGTGAGGGCAGACGAGAGGACGGCGGCTGCTGCGTGAAGGGAATCAACGACAGTTGCCGAGCTACTTCTTCACGCACGAAGTCTTTAATCTCTTGCAGGGTTGGTGCGTGGTCGGGAACGGAAGTGAGACTGGAGAGCGAGTCGGCGTGTGAGGAAAATGGCCGAGTCAGGGCGCGCTGCTTGCTCAACTCCTCGAAACTTTGACACAAAGTAACAAGTTCCGCAACGGTGGCAGGATTACGGGCGAGGAGCAGCTGATATGCACCGTCATTTATCCCTTTGAGGATGTGTTGAATCTTCTCCGACTCGGGCATGGTGGTGTTCAGTCGGTTGCAAAGTCCAATGATGTCTTCAATGTAGCTTGTGAAAGATTCCGTTGGTTTTTGTGCGCGAGTCCGCAAGCGTTGTTCGGCTCTGGACTTGCGGACAGCGGGTCGGCCAAAAACGTCAGCGAACAACGTTTTGAAGATGGACCACGTCGTAATGTCGTTTTTGTGGTTGTTATACCACATTTCGGCTACGTCAGTGAGGTAAAAGATGACGTAAGTCAATTTGTCCGCGTCATCCCACTTGTTGTTTGCGCTTACCA